TATATATATATATATATATCACGTGACTTGGCGATTAATTAATTTCTTTGCGTGTAATTAAAATAATTGTATGCGAAGTTGATCGGAATTAGCAACAATTTTGACAGTTACCACATGGACGCCATGGATGGCATGTATTCAGTGAAATTGTCAAATTTTCTGGAGCAATGATCGAATTCAAGCCAGCTAGTCATGCTTGCCGAATGAATGAGCATGATTGATTCTTACTTATTGGTTGTATCCAACCAATCATATTTAATTACTCAGCGAACAAACCTAGCCTCTTTGTCTTGAACGCTTCCACTTCTTCTTTTAAAATACTTGTAGGAAATATTTTTTGCCGGTGTTAAGTCGGCGCTACAAAATTCAAAAATTTAATGTTATTACTATTATCGATGATCCTTATTTTATTCAATAAAATAAAATAATTGTGAATTTCCAATTAAGCAATCGAATCTGGAAAATCGTATTTCAAAATAATTGTATTATAATTCAAAAGTGCGCGCGCATTTATTTAAATTTAGAATCCATTTGAACCGGCTTTGACCGCTTAGCGAAGCATACTTGTGTTTATAACATATTACTTACGAGCAAATGTTTGCATCATATTATTTACGAGCTAAATAATGAATAAAATAATTGCAGGATGATTAGAAATAATGTACGAAGATTAGAAATAATGGATCTGCTTATCAGGTATGTTTCTTAATATTCAATTGAAATTTGATGTCTCTAACCTGCAATCTTGTTGCAATATAACCTAATTTCTTCCAGAGAATACCAATATTGTTGTTCTTTATCGAGAGTGCCAAAATGCCCAACGTTTGTTAAGCGATTTGTTTCGAGTGTCAGTGTGAGATTTGTCAAGAATATAAGTCGGAGATGGCGACTTGTCGTTCCAACTGGAATAGGCTTCTCACTACTAGCAGGAACACAATGGAATTATTTACATCAATATGGATATCGAATTGATATAGATGATGGGCCAGAATTGCTGAATGATGTTATGGTAATGGAGAGCCGTTTATATGATAAGTTGTGTTAAATGTAAAATTAATATAGATATAAAGTTTTCTCACTGTAGGTAACTTGCTATTGTTGCTTGCCATTGAGAACAACTAGTAGAATATGGGGTTGGCTGACGAGCATCGAATTGCCTGTTAGTCTTAGACCAACGCTGTATGGATTTTATGCGAATATTTTTCACGCCGATCTGGACGAGGTAGAGCTGGATTTATCTGCGTTTCCAAACCTGGTGGAATTTTTTGTTAGAAAACTCAAGCATAATGCTAGACCAATTGCTCAAAATACAAATATGGTAAACATTGATTAGATTTTTATTTAGAAATATAATCTGAATTTACATGATTCATCTTTCCTTCTTTTTACTTTGAAGAAAGAAGAGAAAAGAACTATGCAAGAAGTTCAGCTACAAAGAACAAATCTTTTACTTTAATTCAAACTTATATAAGTATTAAAAGATCTTTTTAGTTCAATTTCTTGCACAAGCTTATCTCTTTTTTTTTTTTCATATTGGAGAAAAAAAGAAAAAGTGCAGCTAAAAAGAACATTCTAATATGAATATCTGACAATTTCTCTCAGATTTCACCTGCAGATGGTAAAGTGCTTTATTTTGGACCAGTGTCTTCTTGCCGCGTGGAACAAGTGAAAGGAGTAACATATGATCTTAGACAATTTCTGGGTGATCATTTGAATGATCTCACATTAAATGAAATTACGAAAAAGACGACACAGGATGATTACGTAAAGTCACTTTTGAAGAATCCGGACAATAGATTGTATCAACTAATCGTTTACTTGGCACCTGGCGATTATCATCGGTTTCATAGTCCTACCGATATGATCATAAAATTTCGACGGCACTTTCCAGGTATACTTCGTCTTTTTGAAGATTGATAATGTGTTCTTTGTTTCTTGTTTCTTGCTTTTCATCATTTTTTATTTCTTGCCATTTTTTTCTCTTCTTTTATCTCTCTTGTCTCTGTTGATTTCGTAAGAGACAAGAAACATGATTGTTAATAAAACGGCCGAAAAGAGAAAAAGCAAGAAACAGAAAGCACATAGTTATATTATAGATTAGTCTGGCCATGTTCTGATATACACTGCCAGTGAACTACTGAAAGTCTATAGTTCATGTATTATATGTAATTATATATGTATTATATGTAATTATGTATTTATGCATATAGATTTTTAGTATTAACAGTGTATTGAAACACGGCTCCTATAGCTCTTCATGAAAGTGTTTCTTTTATTTTTTCTAAGCAACCCATTTGTTTTTAGGAAAGTTATTGAGCGTTAATCCAAAGGTGCTCAAATTTATGCCCAACTTGTTCTCGTTAAACGAACGCGTTGTATATGTTGGAGAATGGACAGGCGGCTTCATGGCTTATGCAGCGGTCGGAGCGACGAATGTGGGCTCTATACGAGTCTACTGCGACAAAGAATTGACAACTAATACAGTGCACTGGCCAGAAAGCGCGCATTGGAAGGAAGCGAGTTTAGATAATGCGCATATTGCCAAAGGCGAACTGTTTGGCGAATTTAGACTTGGATCCACGATCGTGCTTCTATTCGAGGCACCGCGAGATTTTCAATTCTCCTTGCAAATCGGTCAAACCATTAAAGTCGGTCAGGCATTAAATACATTTTCTAGTAAAGAGTCTGACAAAAAACTTGAACGACAGCACCTAATTATAAATGTCGCACAGGATTGGAGAGATATATGGAAGCCTAGATTATAGAATAAAGCAAATAAAATTAGGAACTAATTTTATTGGAGAATTAAAGAAGATGTATCGGTATCTTGCTCGTATTTTTTTGCGAAATCGAATTATAGGTGCAATAAAAAAATATTAGAGTTACAAGAGCTCTAGAGACTCAGTTTTCTCGAGTAAGTATCGATTCTGTGATTACTTTGTACGTAATCGTGTTCGTGCGTGAGAAAATCATCTCATGCGACTTATCTGAAATTACATGTTAAATCTCTCGCTAATTATACTCGTTCGTTACTTTAATTGCGTAATATCAAGCATCACGCAAAAAAACAATGCAAAGCAACAATTTATAATAGATTTGACATAGTTGATTTATTGTTACGGCCGAATAGTACTATACAACACGTCTCTCCTGTGAAACTTCATACAATCACAATTGAGAAACCAATGGAACTTCTTAATGCGAGAAAACATACTTTTCTTTCTTTGCGTCACTACTGATAGAGGTCGGATCGTAAACTGTTTTAGTTGCATGCTAAATCGATCTTTGTTTGTAGTTAAGTCGGCCGGTCAAGGCCGCTAGATGAAACACTTTCCTCAATTAAGGCTCTAACTCCTTTTTTCTAAAGAAAGTAACAGCTATGTTGTATATCTCAAGTTTCCACGCATTACAAAGCACCGAGTCTTACTAACCCCATTATATTTTTATAGCAGTATTTTTATCGACCCTCTATTATTACTTCTGAAAAATTTGTATTAAATTGGAATATCTTTTATCTCGACTTGTGTGTGTGTGTGTGCAGCGCGCGCGAACATGACTTCGCACTAGACCAGATTAACTGTAATATGAATATTTGATCGCGCGAATATATTTTATAATATATTTTATGCAAAGTATAAATAAAAAGATTACATAGATATCATAGTTTTTCTAGATATATAATTATTTTATCCAGATGATTTTATTCAATTATCACTTACATTCTGCACATTTTATTATTTTATCACTTTATTGTAAATTAAATTCTCGATATTGAGATCATTTCTATCGCAATATTTTAATATTTATATTGTATATTCTGATTAATATTCTGTTAATAACTTTTTTAAATCTAGAAAATCATGAGCCTTCTTCTGTCTTACCTAATTGTGCAGCACATAAGCAGCAACCATAAAAGCATATGACTTTGATGTGTATGCATCTTAATCCCATATATGTATAGTATACTCTCTAAAGTAAACATAAGCAACATAATCGATGAATCGTTAAATTGATTAACCGGAAAATTTAAAATGACAGGCATTAAGAAAGGCAAATCAAATTGCTTATTCATATATTAAACTATTTACACCCTGTGAGCTTAAAATTCATTCTACATTAATTTATGCATGCGGTTACAAATTCTAGCACGGTAATTTAAATTTATCTCCTTCACAAAACTTTTCTTGTATCAATTTAGGTCTAACTTTCTTATAAATTTTGGGAGAGAGACAGTTTAAATTTATCTTTTCCGCTCACGTGAATTGTCTAAATGTAAATACATCATCCTGCGCATAGAATATCTCCATGTCTTCTTGAACAAAGCAGCATGCATGTCATTTATCATTGCCAGAAACTTAACGTTGGTCGATCTTCCGAGGAAGATACACACGAGAAAAAGAAGGAAAGCCACCGAGCCGGCCGGCGTCGTAAACGTCAAACCGACGTTTGGTGGATCAGTGAGCGTCGCGACGCCCGCGGCGCAAGTTGCACCGCCTCCTCTTCTTGCGACTCGCCGATAGTACATACCGGTGCGTCGGATAGGACGTCGTCGCGCGGCACCGCCGGTGATACCGCTTGTCTAATACATATCTTCTCTAGGGTACCAACTCACCAAGATTTAGAAATAACTATTATGAGATGTTTGAGCAGCGACTAAATGGGGGCCGATGGACATTTTCGTGTGACCTTGTCCCTCAAGAAGGAACCAGGTGCTGGTCCAGTCTTCTGCAAGATGGAGACATCTGCCAGATTTCGGCAGCTGAAGACGGTGAAGCTGAGCTGCGACACAACCTACCGACTCGATATTAGCTTCAAACCGCCGCAACTGCTGCAGTGGGTACAGTAAATGTGCAGTTATACATTACGTCGAGCACTTCTCCCTTTCCTCTTGTATTTAAATCGGATATCAGGTTTCTTTCTGTAGGAAGACAGTGCGACTTCGCATTGCGTGATCAATGATTTGCCGACAAGTATTATTTAGTTCTACTTGAGAAAAGTAAACGTGTGTCAAACCACGAATATATCTAGACATTTCTGTTATAATTTGATAGATTGTTTCAATCGTCGTTATATAATGACAATTTAACTCTATTGACCAAACTTTAATATATTTAGAATCTGCAGTCCACGTATATCTATAACGTATTTTTAGTTGAACCTGAATATAATTTATCTCTGTAATAACACCGAATTATTTCATCTTATTTCAATATCGTATATCAAATAAACATTACGGAGTGTTAAGGGGACTATAAACTACTGCGAAAAAGTCCCATTCGACTAATAGTAGTTTATTAGAAATTTATACGATCATTTTCAGCACGAAGGTGGGATAGGAGCGGCGATAAATTTCAACGTCTGAGCTTCTATGCTCCAGGGACGAGGAGGATTACAGTTTCTCTGTATGTTCAGATATAGAATCGCTAATAACGCCAACTTAGCCGTAATACTAAAAATAATCTCGGCTGACGAATAACGTTTACTTTCATGAGTATCTAACGAATAGAAGAATAACCTATATTAAATACTTCGCCTTATTGCGAGTGAAGTTTTGCCGACGACTCGCTTTGCAAGAATTTTCTTCAGCGTGCTGAAATAGAATCTCTAGGTCGTCAGACATTTTATCATTAATTTTACGAAAACTTAATCCTGATTACATTTTTTTGCTATCCAGTTGTTTTAAAAATAAAACTCAATAATATTAAAGCCTCTATTTATTCACTATTATTATTTATTCACCATTATTAAACCGTGACGTAAGAAGCAAAAAAAATAAAATTTTTGCAAATTGTATTTAAATAGGAATATTTTTATATTTTAAAAATATTTTTCAATAAGATAATATTTACAATCGGGAAATAAAACAATATTTGCTATCGATAGAATAAATTATAAAATATGTACCAAAAATTATTTTTTTGTTTCGGGCAAAAATAAAATCATTTATTTCCATAAATTATTAAATCATGTTTATTTTCATATATTATTAATTTGACATTTTATCATAGTCATGAAATAATTTATTTCGTTTTTTATTATGCATAACTTCCAGATATATAATTAGTTATTGACAAAAAGGAAAATTTTCAGTTTTATTATATGTATTTTACAAAAACGGTTTTATCGATTGTAACCATTGTTTTATTAAAACATTTCCATATTAATATAATTTGCAAGAACTTTTATTGTGTTATTTTCTCGCTTCTGATATCACAATCTGAAATACTAATAGTGAGAAAATTAAAAAATTAAAAATATTTCAATTATTAATAAAAATATTAAAACTTTTACATTTAAATAAAAAATTAGAATTTTTCGAGATAAATAAATCAGAATCGACAAGATTTATATCGAGATTTCGATAAATTATCGTAGATTAATGCAAAAGTTTAATATTATGCAAACACTTTATCTATTTTATTTTATATTGTATTGCATCGTGAAATTTTTCTGTACAAATTGAGAAATTTAATATCCACGGAACAAACGGGGTCGCGCTAAACTTGCAAAACATACCGATAACATTAAGGATTAAACTCAGGTCGAAGCAAGTTTGCGAACTTAAAGTCAAACAAGCATGTATGAACGACGACAATCGTGCAGCCAGCCATTTAAATCGTCACGAGCGGATTTGCACAGGGCAATTAGGTATTGGAGCACATCGAGAGGCATTACGTTCCTTCCTCGTCGCTTTTATAGAACGAGACCGCATTACATGTACATATACGTGATCTCGTCGCGAGATAACTGTACCTGCGCGCAGTTTCTAAACCACGATCACGAGTGAGCGAGTACATAATCCTGGAATCGGTGGAGAGGGTGGGTTTTAAACGTATGCGAGCACACCAGCTGCAATGACACCGGCTGCCCCGACCTAGGCAGGCGCGAGAAAGATGGACGTGTTATCGCCTTGAACTGTAAAACTCGTCCCCCAGTCTCGGGGAATCGATCGTGATTTTCACTCGTGCAACTCACGTGCTGCTTATAATTGGTTGATCGATGACACAACTCCAGCCCCGCTGATGAGGGATGCAACGACGATCAACTTGTCATACACGACACCGGGACCGTCTTATCGCGGAAGCGCTGAAACATGATGAATGTATCATTTCTGTATACTACCGCGATCTTGTGCGCTACTTGAATGTATGTCATGAATTCAATCACCAGGCTTGAGATATTGCTCAGATATATACTATTGCGATTACCTTCCGGTAATCCTTGATAAATATCACATCGCGAAAAACGATCGCAATTGTGGCAATAAATCGTAATTATGTTCACCGGAAGATATATGACCGTATAAGTATAGTGTAATATATCGGGATGATTTGTAAGATGAGAAATATCATCTGTTACCGGGAAAATTGAGACGCTGAGAATTTGCCGGAATTAAAATGCCGAAATTAAATTGCCGAAATTATCGTTCATCTAATCTTTATGATATTTGATAAAAAGACTTAAGACTGGAAGTTAGAGATAATAATATAGGAACTTAAGATCGATACAAGAAACAATTCAGTGTGGTAGCTTCCATTCGATAATTGAATCGCTCTAAAGCTGCAAGTGGTAGATGTTGTTAATAATTAAACCTGTTATACTTTTCTCTTTTTTACTGTCAATGCAACATTCCGCGAATGATTTACGGCGAACGGGCGCGATTTGCACGTGATTTGCACACGTTGAACTCGAAATCGAATATGGAGATTACGCGTACAAACGCGATGTGCATAAATATTTCAGCTACTTCCCGGCATAATCACGAACTCGGAAGTGTCCGCGTGATCTTTGAGAAGTCACGAAAGGGGTTCGCGTGCCGCGGCACGGCAGAAATGGAGCAGTTTCCCTTTGTTATTTTTCGGACAATGGAAAATCCCCTTTCCTTCTACCGATGGGAGGAAAATCCGGTTTTCCCCATCCATCGCTATCGCCAAAATCTCGTGGAATTTTAAACAACCGCGCGGATCATTAGTTTGAATCACGCGATGCACTCTTGCAGCATGGCCTGCTTTTCGATTTTAGTCGTGACGAACGATACGACAATCCATTCCTCAGCGCGAGAACGAGGAGATATTTCATATATATGTCTCTACTGAAAGCAAACTAACGATTAATTCGTTTCAATGGTGTACACGTCATCTGTTACATTCGATTAATTATTGCGAACGTCTGTGAACGTTATTACCTCCTCGCGCGGGGGAGCTTATATACAAAATCGAGCGATTAAAAGTTTTGTAATGAGCGTCATAAAGTTTGTCCTTGTTTTCCCGCAGTAATATAATTCCTTATGGATAAAAGTAAGGCAGGAGGACATGAAGTGTAGACACATTGACAAGCTTATGATGTTACGAACCGGGTATTGCATTTTTTACGAGCGATAATGCTATATCGACCGTAAGCGCGCCTTTAGATGTCAGTCCACGACTGCAATTCCGTTTCGGCTCATCTCTTATTTTAGATGTAGCTCTTAGGGATTTGCATTTTTAATCTTTAAACCTGGTGATGCATCCTGTAAGACACATCTATGTCCGTTTAGATCTGCGCGAGATCTTGTTTTGAAAACTTGTGAAATTTTTCCAACTCTTTTTCTCTCTCATGTTTTCAAGCCTCTTTATCATACTTTTATGAAATGCAATATAAAATTTCTCTTATTTCATAAAATGCAATATAAAATCTTATGTAATATGTACAATATACATTTTTTTAAATTTTTTCTTCATTACAATACAGAATTTTTATTCCATTTCTTTAATGTCACCAATTTTAAATTAATTGAGCGACTTTATACGAGGCTTGTAATTTTTTGACATATGCAACCTCAGAAAGGAGGGATTAGTAAATGACGAATCGATTTTTTTCCGTATGTATACAAATGTGTATATATATATATATATATACACACTTTATGCAGGTATAATAAATATAATGAATCCTATTATTAAATTGAAATCGCAAAGTACGTTTCTCGAGAACTGTTTTTACAAATAAATTCGTCCATTAAAATATTTACATGTAATGATTGTGCAAATTCTCTGTTAACATGCATTATTGCCGTTATTCGGTCTTCAGGTCAGCTCGCATCATTATTTATTTCTATTCTACATTTGTTAAAATCTGTACAAATTCCAATTTTTGTTTTTCAAATCTAACATGAGCAATTCTACGTGCTAGATATTTGGCCCGTGGAATTTGCATATGCTCCATATAAAAAGTTTCCGCTTATGTTGTAGAAAATTAATCTACAAAAAATCAATGTATGTACTATAATAATTTAATTTTTAATGATTCATAAATTTCAGAGTGTTTCTTCGAAAATTACCTACATTATATTCTTCGTGTATTATACACGTTTGCTTATGTTCCATTTTTCGTGCTGGCAGGATTTACAGACCATTCATTTTTAGATATAGCGATCTGATTCTTGTGGTTGTTTATCTCAGGCGATAAGCTGATGCACGCAACTGATACACGATCGCACACGCGGGTCATTTGCGCGAACTCTTGTCGTCGCCTTCATGATAACTCTAAAAATAAAGTCGTATGCCTCGTATTCATATCAGGAACTAGTTTTGAAGATATATAGATCTGTCGATCTAAGCATCAAAGTACTCCAAAAATACCAGTCTGTCGTAAGATCCAAATCTGCGATCAGGATTGAAAGACCCAGTAGAGCAAAAACGATCAGCCACTTGCAAGCATGATTCCAACAAATGTAGTTTATACAGTCAGGATTAAGCAACCATCCTTGAATTCTTTATTCAATAATTATAAGCGCTTTTAGTTATTAACGGTAAGTCAAAACTAATTAGATAGCGTAAAAAGGGATTAAGAAGTATAATAAATGTTTTAAAGATTATTCATTAGTGTATAATCACATTTTATTTATTATGTAATTCTTCTTCAGATAAAATATGCAGTTTTTTTTTTACTGTGTAAAAATGATTTGTTTTAATCCGCGAAAGGATATCAGATTTAATTAATTTGTTATAAAATTGATTCAAAATGCTCGATATGTTTGAACAAAATTCTTGGGTGAAAAGGTATTCGTACTTGAGATACACATTTTGGTTTATGTTATTCTTGCCAATTCAAATTGCTATTTCTAAAGATTATAAACTGATAAATTTTTACGAATTGATATTATAGGAATGTTGTTGGTATACATAATAATCGTTGATTCGTTTATCTTGACGTTATGCCAGACATAGGAAAAATATTACCAAAGTACACACACGTGGCAACGATTGTGCTACGCAAAACATCTATTTTCGCTTCTAAAAAGAAGAATTTCACCACGTTCAGTAGTGAAGCGCGCGTTCATCGCGTTCCTCGCACATTGACTCGCGTCATTTCCGCTGCACTCGTTCGAACTTTTGTCGGCTTTCTCACTTTTTAGACAGTCAATATGTCGAATAAGCAAATGACGTTCTTTTACAAATAAATAATCAGTTTTGTGTTGTGAAGAAATAGGTCATCCTGCAGAATGCAAGCGTGAGGAAGTGCAATAAATTATCTTTTTCGTTCGTCATTATATCTCTTTGTCTTCCTATTTCTTCATTGTAACATTCAGCTATTATTTTAGATCTTAAATTACTTGAATAATAATGATCTAATTAAATATAATAAAAAACAGTACTTTATTTTAATATGATTCTTTAATTTAATTCTCTAATTTGTAAAAATTAATTTATGCATGGAATTATGAAATTCAGTGCAATTCCTTCTAAGGTGTACCGTAGAGGAAATAGAAAATATTTATAAAAATAAGAGAAATAATATAATGAAAAATATTGAAACAAAAGTTAGCTACTTTATTTATATTCATATCCACATGTTTTTTAAACTTGACAATAATACTATTTAATATAGAGCAAAGTTTCAGCTTTAAAAATCTTTTTTAATTACGATTTTTAAAGAAATCATGCAATCAAATCAAAATATTTCTTTTATTTAATCTGTAATAATTCAGTAACAAAAAACTTTTAAGAACATTATCTAAAAACGAGATTTATGTAAGGAAAATTTTAAGCTTTCACATGAGTAAGTTTTTTTTCGAAAATTTTCATAAAGGATTCTGTGCACTTCTTATGAAAACGAAGCCCTGATTAAATTGATTGAAATTTTGAATATATAAAATATTTGATCATTGAAATTTTTAATTAATGAGCAAAACCTACATCATATCAAAATTTCAATTTGTTTTGGCTCATTTTCATAAAAAGTATGCGAAGTTCTTTTTTTGAGCATAGGAGATAAAATTGAGAAGAAAATTCCCCAATAAAAAATTTTGTTTAGTTCATAGTTTTCTACGTGTAAAAATTTCTACATGCAAATTCACAAGATCAAACTCAGAAGATGTAAGTGATTTTTTATTATAAAAGTAGAGATTAAAAGTTTTAAAACTTTTTTTAAATTTTGTTTTACTTTTAATTAAGTTAGAGTTACGTGAATTTTTTGAAGTGCGTGGCGCTATAAATTTTTGTTCCAACTCAATGTAATCCAATACATATTTTACGGATGTATTTTTCAAGAGAAATTCTACAGAATGTATTTTTCTAAAATTTCATTTTATTCAGGTTATTTTTTTCAGGTTCCTGAGTATCGGTGGCAAACAGGTGGAGGCGGTTGAACGAGCAAGGAACACAGCGGCGTGTGCTTACAGCGCTTATCACAGCACTAAAGATATCCCGGCGAGTGCACGTGGTCATCGGGAGGATTTGCCGATCGCCATGAGAGTCCTCGGTTCCGGTTACCTGACTACTTGTCTGCAAATCAAATACTACCGATTGGATGATCAGAGCCATTGCGAATGGGGTGCTAGATTGCACTGCATCGAGCTCGATTGTTCTAGCGTCGAGGGACGTCTCGTCACGGTGGATCGGGAGACGTACAGGAAGCTTGGCATAGAATCTTAACGAAACGTCATCAGCCTCACCATCAGTATCGGCTCGTTGCCAGTTCATTACAGCGAGGAACCCGACGCCGCGCCGCGTAGTGCCACAATCGATGCCTCTCGCATGCGATCGGCTGAATACTTTACGCTCGCAAATGGTAAATACAGGTTGTATCAAAGCTTATGTTCGGATGAATTAAGGCCAGATACTTTTGTCTAGAAAACTTCAAGATAAGCATAAAGATAGAAACGATGATACCAACGAATCTAATTTCACGATTTTTAATTTGAAAAAATTACAATAATTTTGTTATTAATGTAAAGAATAGAAGCCTAAAAATTCTGCCTCTATTTAATTATAGATATAAATTTTGCTAAATATGATCTTAATATTTCGGAAATTGGCTCTAGCATGAACTTAATAAAATTAATCGCCAGATTCCTTTAAATTGAGAGATACTTTAGTATTTTTAATTCAGTACAATGAATATAAATTGCGAAATTTCGAAGCGTTATCACGATCGATGCATAATTGAGACTAATCGTTACTAGTTGGCTAACAATATTGCGTTAATAGTTGGCTTAAATTATTTAAAGAAACCTGACATCTGATCTTTTGAGGCTTCTTCTTCATCAGAAACATCGAAACTTTATATAAAAAAATTGTCTAAAAAATTAATTAATTAAATTATCATTATAATATTCTTAGAAATTTAAAAAATTGGGATTTAAATTTATCTTGTATTTAGAAATTCCAGAGCTATTATGCGTTAATATAGTATTAATTGCACAACCAGTAATATCTATACATACGCTAATTTTTCGATGCAAAATAAATCATAAATATCTAATGTTGGGAGATATAATTAATTGTAATTGTTTTCTCTGGCCAAGGATTGCCGCAGGAATTAATATACGATAGGAAAATGAACTCTAACATGAACACACATTGATAATAGTGTAGGTATTTACATATCGACATATGTATATACGTACTTCGATACGTACCACGTATCGAACATACACGTTATTGATTTTTGATTAATAGTTAATTGTGAATACGAATCAATCGCAAGGCAATATGCTATGGTGAGGAAGAGAATGGCATTTTTTTATAATTGAAAACATCGACAGAAGTCCTACTCGTGTCAGTGATGCGACGTCAGCTTTCGCGATCAAAGTGTACGATGCACTTTTACGCATATTGTTCGCTTCGATGTTATTTTTTATTTACAATAATTCTTGCTTATTTTTCTTTTTTATCTTTGCACTTTTCGAAAGATAAAGGATTATTATAAAACTCATCTCTTGATGTGTGCGTTATTGTGTACGTTAATTTTAAAAGCGTCCTCAGAGCTACAATAGGAGCTTGAAGTATCTTAATACTTGAAAACTTTGGCAATCAGCGAAGTGACCAATTAACGCCTTTACGCTTACTGTAATTATGCAGATCGTTTCTACTTTCTCTACTCGTTTAATGGATTAACAAAGTTATCTTTACAAGTTGTATAAGTGTATTGCATGTAGGGTGATTCTTGATTATATGTTAAAACTTCAGAGAGTATATTTAGAACAGGGAAAAAATGTCATCTATGCGAACACGGATTAAATGTTATTTTCAAAGTTTGTGGCTTGAAACGCGTGCATGTATATATTCATACACACGCGTATTTTTGTCGTACTGCGATGATAGTTTTATTCATTCTAATGTAGGCGGTGAAAAGGAATTTATAATAAATTAAATTTTATCCGAGATGCAATGTTCGGAATTTTCTGCGATTTCTTAAAGTACTGTTCTACGGCGCTTAAAATCAGATTTTTAACATAATACGTATTCGATCGATTAATCAGAGGCGTTCCATGTTTTTAGTTGCGTCTTTGCATAACGCCTCTGATTAATTACGCAAAAAATTGGTGCCATAGAACGGCAGTCTTAGTCCAAAATCCATTTGTGTATAATTAAAGATCACTCTGGTATGAAATCTTTCTAAAAGAAATATATATACATTATTTACATACAATAAATACAAAAAAATCACATGTCGTATCTGTTTTGTTATTTTACATTCATAATTGCGGTGGCACGTAGTGCAGTAATGCGTCCGCGATATCTCTGTTCCTCAACTTCTTCACTTGCGTACGCATTCGCACCGCCAGCCCGTTCGTGCGCTTCATATACATCGCCGAGTGATGTATCGCGATCGTGAAGGGGATTGGACACCATGTCTTTTTGACCACACCGCGAACTAGCGCCGTGATGTAACTTTCTATAAGCGACGTATCTTCCTCCTCCGGATAGAGATATTCCTTTAACGGCAACACCAGCTTCTCCGGCGACAGTTTCAGGTATCGCAACGCGGCCGCGTGTTCTGACCACAGAAGTTTCCGGTAGTGTGGATCATGTCGTTGCGCCACTGGCACTAGCAATATCATGGCGAAACCGTCATCGCCGTATGAGTTCGAATAGAAATGCTCGCACAATGCCGTGAACATATCAGTGAAGGAACTCAACCCTGGTAGCTCCGTTCGAAAGTTCAATCGCGCGTGATATCTTCTCAGCAGATTCGACAGGACATTCAGCAACAGCATGGCCACATCGCTGTCCAGGTAGATGGTGTCACACAGGAACACCAATATCAGTCTGCTAAATCTCAAAGTAGGCGATAGCTTCTCCATGAGATCAGGCAAGACTAATGCTAGGCTTAGCACTGTCAAAACGCTATCCTTATCCTCCGACTGCAACTTTATATCGTTTTTGGATTTTGTATATATGTGAACTAGCGGTAAGAAGAGCCAGTCCTTCGGCATTGCTGCTTGGTTCCAATCACCGTTCGCCGCGATATATCTCTCGTACAACGACGTTGCGTCGGAACGCAAGCTTGTCTTGACCTGATCTACCGTGGACATCAGGTCTAATTTGGCTAATTCGTTGGTGATTATCTCCAAATTTACTTTTTCATTCGAGAACGCAATTTGAAAGAGCTTCCTCACGTGATCCGTGGCGTCTGCAGGTAACGTCGAGATGAGTTTGATGGTGATCTTCCACACAATTTGAGCTGTTCGATTGTTGATTGTGTCTCCAAGGAGGGATACTGCTTGTACTACTGTTGTCAAAAGATATAACTCCGTTCTGCTAAACCACGATCTTTCTAAAGTCCACTCGGTCTTTTCCAAATCTTCTATATATTTGAGGAAGGATGGGTGTTTAAGTATCAAACGAATTTCTGCTACGCGAGAATTATTGTAAAGTGTATTGAATATTGTCGCTAAGAACGGTATGCACGAATTCACTGATACAATCGGTTGTAACTCTCCGTTCTCTGTGAGAACATCCAAGTTTGGAAGACAGGACGGTTCCCGATCCGTAGCCGCGTTATAGTTACTCAATAAGTTTGAACTGGAACTGCAAGAAAACAAATATAAATATTGTAATTATATTAGGTGTAGAAAAAGAAATCCATTATTTTTCCATTCAATTTCATGCAAAAATAATGGATTTCTTTTTACTACATCTAATATATATGTTCATATTATATGTTTGTGTGCGTGTGTGTGCGCGTGTGTGTGTTTCCAAATATAAAAAAAAAAGAGTATGCTTACCGAAGAGTTAAGAAAACGTGCTGGTTGGATAGCCATGTTGTTTTAAATGACGATATCTCGTCAACAGCCGATAAACTTTCCGCAATTAATTTCATAACACCCCACTGAAATTTATAACACTTTATATGTCTCGAATATTGATAAGTGTTAAGATATAAAATCAAGTTAAAAAAAAGCATATCACAAGAAATAAATATAGTCTTAATATTTTTAAATATTTATTAAATAATTATTTTTTTATAATACCTACTTGATAAATTAATTAGATCAGATAAACTAATTAAATAGATCAATAATAATTGCTCTCACCGTTGGATTAGACACTGACGAAAACTGCGTACTCCACTTCATTAGCAATGTAGAAATGTTTGGTTTTAATATTTTTTCGTGACTTGCTACAGCAATCAATGCCGCGGCGTGCTCGCACGCCAACTCGGACGTATTTTGAATATCATGATTACTTAATAACAGCTGTAATTGTGATATGAGAGTTAACTGGGCACCCGTGACACTGTCCAGACCTACTTTGTAATGCAGTAGCATTCGCCAGAGTCGCAGACTCTCAATGCTGAGATTTATGTGATCTTTCCTACTGAAATATTATATATTTAATAAAATAAATATATACGAAAATTATGTATAGATGTATAGGAAAGCTTACTCTGTCTCACTGCTAATGTACATTAGAATGGCTTGGATAATTTTAAAGTTATCTAATTTTTGTGCGATGGGCTTCTTGCCGTACGTGACGAGAATGCGACATAATTTAATCGCTGTAACTACAGGAATCCCGTAAACATTATTTATCTCATCCTGCATCGCTGTAAAAATTCCAGGCTCTTTAAATAATATATCAATAATTATTTATCAAATAAATTTTAGATTTATTTAAACTTATTTAAAGATAATGTTTTTATGTATTATTTTAAGCATAATTTACCTAGTCGGTCTGTAGACAACGGTATAAAATTTTGTATGATACTGTCTAATAAATATGGCGTAGACGAGACATTCAATGCTGTTATATGTGAATGTCTCGCAAGACGGATAAGTATTTCTAAAGCACACTTTACTCCAACAGGTGGTGGATGCATCGCACTTAAAATGTATCTACAAATGATTACATTTAAATTAGCTTTATTTTATTATATTTGCAGAAGAATCAAACAAAAACATAACTCAATAACAAAAATCACAAGATTATCAAAATATTTAAATCAAAGAATTATAAATATTTAATAGAAAAATATAATAACAAAGTTATACGTATACCTAATTCTCAATAAGAAATCCGATCTTAGTAACGCAGCCACGGCATCCAATTGCGCCAGCTCGTGATCCTTCAAACTACTTGTATCGTTGTCTTCAAGTTGAGGTGTCAGGGTGGGTTCTATGTATCCTTCGAATCCGTGCAGTCTGTCCAAGCATACCTCATCCGCCTCACTAACCAGGAAAGCTTTGAGAGCTTGCAGAGCCGCCGTGACCACGGCTACCGACGAGTCATCCAGTGAGAACCTCAGCAACAGCAGGATATTCTTTTGACTGAATGCAGTCAGTGGTGCTGGATGCAAGGCCTTATCATACCAACCCTTGCGCGTTTTCTCCATGATATTGGCCAGGGTGGTAAGGGCTGTACATCGTTGCTGTTGATTGGAAGACCTGCTCAATTGCAGCAATTCTTGAAAGGAGTATCCGGGACGTTCGGGTTCCTCTCCGTGATGATAGAGGCCTTTGTCTACAGTTAAACTCTCATCCTTGTATGGTAATAAAAGACCTAAAAATATAAAAAAATGAATGATAGAAATAAAAGATAAAGATAATTAATAGCAAAATGAGGTGATATGTTATTTACCGTTAAAATCAAATCTCGCATTGTATTCTTTGTCTGGTAAGACCTCGTCTTTCTCCTTTTCCGATAAGTTTTCCATCCACTTCAACTTTTCTGGTTCAGGAGTGTTCATATGAAGCCATCCTTTCTGTTTACTTTCTTTAAATATTTCTTTGGAGGAGTCTGGTATTCTCCAAGTGTCATCCTCGCAATCCATTTTTGTATTTACATTATCCGAAGATAACTTTATCTTTTTGTTACTAGATATTTCTGTATTCATTGTTGTCTCTTTTGCGTTTGAAGTACTTATTATATCAGTCTCACAGTCCATTTCTTCATTATCATTTGATGAAAGCCTTACCTTTTTATCACTGGATACTTCTGTAATCACTGCAGTTTTGTTCACAACTGAAGCATCAAGTTGCCTATTCTGTTCAATTGGCTTTTCCATGAATTTATTTTTCTTGTTTCTTAAAAACTGTATTATCTTAGGATCAAGAGTCTCCTCAAGCTTTCTTTTTTCCTTTAATATTTCTGCTTCGCTCATTTGTGCTAGTTTTAGCGAATTTTCTTTGTAAATTTGAAATAAATTATACTTTGTTACAATGTTTTCTTCCTTATTGCAGTGGGAAGATTCGCCCATATGAATCTTCATCCAATTGTCTCTCACAGATTTTAATTTTTCTGAAAGAACTTTCTGCGAGAATAAACTCTGCTTACTATCGCTCTACAAAAGAATAACAAAATGAGACTTAAAAAAATATCAGAGATGTGTTTTGATCAGACATACCTTGTTCATAAGTGACATGTCATCAGATCCATAAATCTCAGGGAGCTCAACTGCTATAGGAATGCGATTGTCGTTAAACTCATATTCCTTGATATTAAATTTCTTCTCCATGATATTGCCAAGTATTATATTCGACGATACTGCAGGTATATTTTGCACCATGTCCTGCAATTTTCCTTTTGTATCCTGAATCTTGTCTTTTATGATCGGATTTATCATCTCTCCATTGCCTTGTGAAGTGGACACTACATCTTGTTTCACCTTAGACTGCCTCAGATTTGAAAATCGCGATTTTGAAGCACCTGAAGCATTGGTAGAATCTTTTAGATTTGTTATCTTCACGGACGGTGGTTGCTTTGCCTTCAGGAATTCTTCCTGCTGGCGCAGAAGCTCCTCCTCATCATCATTCGCTCTAGGCCTCTTCCACATAACTTCATCAGCCATCTCTCAGGTTGTTATAACCTCTGTTATTTTCAATAGTTTATAATCATATATTGCAACAGAGAACCTGCAACTTTGAAACTCAATCAGTTCGTAAGAAACATCGCGACATTTCTGCGACGTGATAATTTGTAAATATTATTGTCATTGCATGTCATTTCATGATTAACTGAACTAATTGACTCACCAGATGCAACGTGATCAAACGTGATGCATTCCCGCGACTTCGAAATCATCTGATTAATTGTCGCTTTTAATCTACACTTTTAACACCACGAAACGATTGCATTTACCATCCATAGGAAAAGTATTACCGACGATTATTGAGAATCGTAGCTCGAGGAATATTCTTGAATGGAACATTCTTGATGTTAGCATGAATTGTTCTCAGAAATTCTTACAAATAAATTAAATGTATTAATTTCTTTTCATTTTCTGTATTCATCTTTATATACTTTTGGCTTGGGCATAAGGAGAAATTAACTTCATTGATTTAGCTCATAACTTTATTTATCGAGGCATAATGCGCTGGAAAATAGCATAGTGTTCCTCAGTTTTCCTATATATATAATACAGGAATTAGTTCCTATAATAATAGGAACAGAATATACGATATGCGCTAATTATTATCGCAATCATGAATACTTTCTTCATTTAAGACGATATTCATAGTCCATTCTTATTTTAAGAATGTCATCTAAGTAATGTTTTAAAATGCTAATACTGATTGATTCATAATATCATAAGACTACTTAAGAAAAAGATGATCTTATAAATATATTTCCAGATAACCAGCCGTGTAAACGTTACAGCTGAACAAGCTGTGATTTTTATAGATATTATACAAGTATTGTGCAAATCAATGTCGTCAGTTTTTGTTATAGCTTCAAATTATATTACAATGCTAATATTAAAACAAAACTGCGTACTATAACTTTAAAAATGCACGGTGCTGTTCGGATTTTGTGCCGAATTTTTGTGTGCGTTCCATTCTCGCAGATTTCTCCCGTATGCGATTACATTGTCAGCATTAAAACAAAACTGCAGATGATAACTTTGAAATTGCACTGTACTTTTACGCTAGTTTCGTGCAGAAATATTCAATATGTCCAATTTTCAAGCAGTGCACAACATCGCCACTAGAGGGACACAATGAAGTTCAATTACTCGTGTTTAAAAACACGAACGGAATAAAACGCATAATATAATTAAAAATTCTCAGTGAAAAATTTTTATTCTTTTTTTTTTTATAAAATGGTAGATTAGGCCTACTGGGGAAACCACTTAAAAAAAACCCGCGCCAAGCTATCTATTTCAGGTAGTGGAAAACGATATTCCATTTCCTTAGGTCTTAAAATATTAGATGTACAACTTTGCTTCCGCCGTTTTCCTATAGATGACTTTAGCGGTAAGTGGTGGTCGAAATAAATAGATCATAGACGTCATACAATAAACTTGGGCATCTGTCAACATAACCCCATAGAAACATTAGTCGATTTGTGTCTGCATCATAAAGTTATTTGATTGAAAATGTCAGTTTACGAGCCAAATTCTCGTCATTTGCGAGAGGTTTTAATTTTTTGCTTCAATATGAAGAAATCTGCGACTGAGGCTCATCGAATGCTCTCAAATACTTATGGTGAGGCTATTAGTGAAAGAACGTGTCATGAGTGGTTTCAACGCTTCGTTAAAGAACAGTGATTTTGACGTCGAAGACCGGCATAGCGGTGGAAGAGAGAAGGTTTTCGAAGATGCAGAATTGGAGGCATTACTTGAGCAAGACTCGTGTCAAAATCAAGAAGAATTGGCACGATCATTGGGAGTGACTCAACAAGCCATTTCAAAACGCCTCAAAGCCATGGGAATGA